GCTGATTGAAAACAACATTTGGATACCATTAGCATGTTAGTGCTTTTCGGAGATTTTAGTATCGGGTTTAGATCTACTTTATAGTATTTGTGAGCATACAATGTTATAGACACTTTCTGATACAGTTAGAACTATGCAGGTACCATAACGGCTTTTCCTTAGTTTCAGAAATGTTCTGTCTTAGCTTTCTTACAAGAGTACAAAGTTCTATCATGTGATCACGCATCTCTTCTTTCTGATGGGGGGGGGGGGGGTTACAGGACACTGTGCAGACACACAGCCTGCCTGTATGCCATAGTCTGTTCAGCCCGAGGCAAGATACAGGCTGAGCTTGAGCAGGGGGTGTGTTCAAGCTGTGATCGGGAGGCGTGTGTGTGCCAGAGGAAGATTGTGATTGGACGCGGTGTGTGCCAGAGGAAGACTGTGATTGGGAGGGGGTGTGTGCCAAAGGCAGGCTGTGATTGGGAGGGGGGTGTGTGTGCCAGAGGCAGGTTGTGATTGGGAGGGGGTATGTGCCAGAGGCAAGCTGTGATTGGGAGGGGTGTGTTCCAGAGGAAGCCTGTGATTGGGAGGAGTGTGTGCCAGAAGAAGACTGTGATTGGGAGGGGGGGTGCCAGAGGCAGGGGGGGAGGTGGGGTGCCAGAGGCAGGCTGTGATTGAGAGGGTGTGTGTGCCAGAGGAAGACTTTGATTGCGAGGGGTGTGTGCCAGAGGAAGACTGTGATTGGGAGGGGTGTGTGCCAGAGGAAGACTATGATTGGGAGGGGTGTGTGCCAGAGGAAGACTGTGATTGGGAGGGGTGTGTGCCAGAGGAAGACTGTGATTGGGAGGGGTGTGTGCCAGAGGCAGGCTGTGATTGGGAGGGGGTGTGTGCCAGAGGAAGACTGATTGGGAGGGGTGTGTGCCAGAGGAAGACTGTGATTGGGAGGGGTGTGTGTGCCAGAGGAAGACTGTGATTGGGAGGGGGTGTGTGCCAAAGGTAGACTGTGATTGGGAGGGGTGTGTGCCAGAGGAAGACTGTGATTGGGAGGGGTGTGTGCCAGAGGAAGACTGTGATTGGGAGGGGTGTGTGCCAGAGGAAGACTGTGATTGGGAGGGGTGTGTGCCAGATGCAGGCTGTGATTGGGAGGGGGTGTGTGCCAGAGGAAGACTGTGATTGGGAGGGGGTGTGCATGTGATTGGGAGGGTGTGTGCCAGAGAAAGACTGTGATTGGGAGGGGTGTGTGCCAGAGGAAGACTGTGATTGGGAGGGGTGTGTGCCAGAGGCAGGCTGTGATTGAGAGGGGTGTGTGCCAGAGGAAGACTGTGATTGGGGGGTGTGTGCCAGAGGAAGACTGTGATTGGGAGGGTGTGTGTGCCAGAGGAAGACTATGATTGGGAGGGGTGTGTGCCAGAGGAAGACTGTGATTGGGAGGGGTGTGTGCCAGAGGAAGACTGTGATTGGGAGGGGTGTGTGCCAGAGGCAGGCTGTGATTGGGAGGGGGTGTGTGCCAGAGGAAGACTGATTGGGAGGGGTGTGTGCCAGAGGAAGACTGTGATTGGGAGGGGTGTGTGTGTGCCAGAGGAAGACTGTGATTGGGAGGGGGTGTGTGTGCCAAAGGTAGACTGTGATTGGGAGGGGTGTGTGCCAGAGGAAGACTGTGATTGGGAGGGGTGTGTGCCAGAGGAAGACTGTGATTGGGAGGGGTGTGTGCCAGAGAAGACTGTGATTGGGAGGGGTGTGTGCCAGATGCAGGCTGTGTGATTGGGAGGGGGTGTGTGCCAGAGGAAGACTGTGATTGGGAGGGGGTGTGCATGTGATTGGGAGGGTGTGTGCCAGAGAAAGACTGTGATTGGGAGGGGTGTGTGCCAGAGGAAGACTGTGATTGGGAGGGGTGTGTGTGCCAGAGGAAGACTGATTGGGAGGGGGTGTGTGCCAGAGGAAGACTGTGATTGGGAGGGGTGTGTGCCAGAGGCAGGCTGTGATTGGGAGGGTGTGTGCCAGAGGAAGACTGTGATTGGGAGGGGTGTGTGCCAGAAGAAGACTGTGATTGGGAGGGGTGTGTGCCGGTGGAAGACTGTGATTGGGAGAGGTATGTGCAGGAGGAAGACTGTGTTTG